TTTAATGTCTTGCACTCTCCCATTTTTCATGGGTTTCCCAGCCGGAATTCCAGGGAGTTCTGCCTCCCTCAGCCCCTCTGTAGGGTTTAATTTGGCTTTAGCAGCCTTGCTTCCTTCCTGTTCTGCACTGCTGCTCATGCTATCCCAGTTGTATTCCACCATATGGCTCTGCTTAATCATTACCTTGGCTGGGCAACCTTAAATATCACTTGGGATTCCTTAGTAGAAAAGGTTTTGTAGAGATGTGAGCACAGACTCCCTTTGGCAGTAAGTCTCTATTCCATATAAMATTTACAAGGTCTCACCACAAGCTGCAGTTCACAGCCATGTGCTTCTTCTCACTAATTTTCAAAAAACAGGAAATGCAGACTATTTTTTAAATTTACTGTCACAAACCTGTCCTAGTATGTGAGACAGTGTTTGAAAAGAGATTTTTATTTTAGTTTTCTCTGTTGAAATGCTGAGATGCAGAAGCTGCAGTCTAGTTTCTGCAGTAGTTCTAGTCACATTACTAAATGCAGTGTGGTTTAGAAATAGAAGAGCTTTCAGATATGTATGTCGAAGGGCAGGCACGCTGCTGCAGATTTAGATGATGAGCTGCAAAGAACAACTTAGCTCATCATAGATATTTGTTCTTGTTTCTGCTTACTACAAATGCACCCCTGAACTACCACTGGAGTTGTAAATGTCCTGAAAGTGTCTGTACAGGTGCAGCCTTTGTATATTAATTATATACTGCTTAATCTGAGCTGTCACCAGCCATGAGTGGTCTTGGAATATGTCTGTGGGTTCCCTGTTGAGAAAGTTTTTGCTAAGATGAACAAAAAATAATCATGACATGCTGTATTTTACTAGCAGGGTAACTGTTGATAGTAGCTGTATCACAATATTATTTGTCATTTAATATATCTCCCACCACTGCAATTCTTCTCTACTCCTCTTAAGCTGCTGGCAGTGGTCCTCTATCCTAGCTCCCAGATTTCTCTGGAATGTTTTACTAATTCTTGGAACCGACCATTATTGACATAAAAACATTGTTCAGAATTTATTTGGGAACATTTCATACTTGTGAAATAAATAGATTATACCCAGTTTTGAGTGGGAAAATCTGACAAGCATACAAATTYCACAAAATATTGCATTTAGTAGAAGGACACCAGTTTGGAACTTATTTTCTAGCCTGCAGTTATATACTGCCCTATATATCTCCTGATTTATTCTTAATTTGAAAATTAATTTACAGGTTAAGTACAGAGATAAAGGAAATAGAAGATTGCCCATTAGTGATTGAAAGACTTGCACTTAAGTCTGTCTTTGAATTTCTCTGGTCATTCTAGACCTTTGGCTCAGCTCCATGTACAGCAGCCTTGGATTGGTGCTTGGGACATCTGTTAATCTATATATAGGATTCACACACTTGCACATRTAAACAGGTGATCTCCTAAATATATGAAATGGCATTGGGAACTCCAAGTACTTCATTAACCCAAAATGTATTCAGGAGTGAACTGAAATAGTCCTTTTTGCCCTCTTCCCTGCCACAAAAAAAAAAAACAAAAACCATCAGCTTTATGTGCTGATTACAACTTGTGCTTAACACATATGTATATATATTCATAAATCCCAGGAATTACTTAGTGCTTATAAAAAGGTCCTGAAAATGACTTTTTTCTTTATTCTCCAGTTTAGTTCTCTTGACAGTTGCTAGTTTCTTGCTGTAAAGGGACATAGGGTTTAAAAATAAAAGGTGCATGTAATGGATAGAGAAAATGGGTAATAGGTGGTAACTGATAAAGAAATAAGATATATTTAGAAAATTCATAAGGGAGGCTGCAGGCAGGAGGGAAATTTTAAGTCATTTCATGAGGTCTCTAGCAGTCTGTCTGAGACTAATTTCTAATAAATCTGGGAACAGCAGGGAGACTTCGGAAGAGTGAAAGACCAACAACATTTTGCATCACTGCTGTCATAGAGYGAGAGAGTAAAGAGTGATTCATCTGCTATCAGTTCCAGGAAAAAAACTATGGAAAATTTAATCAAGAATTTAGGTGAGATAAGAATAGCAGTATAATAATGCTGATTAACWTTTCAGTTTGTGAAAACAGGTCTGCTCAAATGTGATTTGGTTGTTTGGATGAGTGAAATTTGGTTGCTTGGGGTTTTGTCTGGGTGCAACAGACTTTTATAACGTCTTTAAATTAGTAGTGTATGGTCTATTTTGGTTTTAAGAAGTATATTTGAATTTAATGAAGTACTGCTTAATTGGATTAAGAGCTGGTTAARATCATAGAAAGCAGAAAAGTGTTTCTGGTTGAGATCAGCCTGGTGCAGTCTGGAAACACATGCAAGAGATGGTGAGAGTGTGGACAGAAAAAATACCAGTGGAGGATTAAATAATGGCATGAAAAGAAGGGTTTAGATAATTTAGGCAGACTGAGACAGTTGAGCAAAATGCACATTAATACAGGTGACAAGACAAGTGTGCACCCAAGAGCAAAAAATGCCACCCGCACCTGTGTGGAGGAGTTTTTTCTGAAAAACCCTGATTCTGGGAGGTGAAAGGTAAATTGTAGGTGTGGTTAGACATGGGAGGGAAGGTAGATGGTCGTACCAAGTAAGTGGCAGAGAGGGCTAACATATGCTACAAGATGTGTAAATAGGAAGACATGAGTAATAATAAGATTATCTGCACTTGAAGCTGGTGTGATGGAACCTGATGCTATAGGTCTGTGCCTTATCTATATACATTTAGTAAGATGTGCTAATTTAGGGTATGGATATGGGTCCCTAAATGGCTCACTAGTGGAAATAATGCCATGCAGTAAGAGATTTAATGGACTGCTACCTAATAAAGCAAAAATCACTTAGTGGCAATGTGCTCTTGGAAGRATGAAGTCCAACTCCCACCTTTAGTCCTGGGGAATACCTGCTTGTTCCACTACAGCTCCTGGCCATGTGCTCATCTTCTTCAACTCACTGATGCAAAAACTGTTGCCTGTTTTGACTTGGCTGTGGTATCTGCCGTGTCAGTGAGTCCAGCCACCAGTCAGGGGAACACGAAAGGTGATGGGGGCAGTGAGAGATTTGACACTGTCTCAGCAAGGTGTTAGATCAAATGCTCATGCAAATGTGGGTTGTGGTAACCTCGAAGTGAGTCCAGCAAATGAGAAGCTTTGTGAGCAGGTCGGCTGCAAGCTGTGTTAGCCCTCGTGCTAATGCAGTAGTAGGAGTGCGATCTCATGCTGGGTGGGTGGAAGAGTCTGGAACTACCACTTCTGTTTGCAGTTTCACAGCCAAACGAAGGGCCTTATTCCTTCCCCTCTGTGTTCCCTCCTCCTCCTTCTGGCTCTTAGCTGATCCCACACAGAATTACCATGGTGCTCTGTACATCCTCCTTCCCTCTCTCACTTCCATGTACTAAAAGAAAGTAATTTCCTGCCAAGGATCCATATATTAAGAAATCATAGTTTGTCTTAAGAAACAGAGAAGAGGTAACTTGTTTGCACACAGTGTGCATGGAGGTACCTCCACAGGTAGGAATTACTCCTCTTACTGTCATAAAGACAGTAAGTTTCAAAGAAAAGCACATCAAGAGTCAATGGAAGTGGAAGGCTGATATYCCAAGAAGAAAATTAAATGTGCGTTTAAGAAAGGATGATTAGGTGTTATGGAAACAACCATAAGAAGGAAGAGATGGATCTCTTTTTTAAAATATACAAAGACCAGAACCYTTACTGGAAAATGTATCTTAGTCAAATGCAAACTGCAAATAGGAGGTTGAAAGAAACAGGTAAAGTGTGAAGTGACATCTTAAATTTTTTGATCTCTACTTCAGGGAATGTACTGTGCAAGTCTGGATATAATGTATGGAATTAATATACTGAACAAGCGAAGTATGTAAGAAAGGAGGCATAAGGGTTATAATGGGATTACATAGTTAAACTGTAGGGCAGTTTTGCTCTTGAGTGGTGAGACATTCGTGTGGACTTTCATTATGTGGGCTATACAACAGACATAAGCTTGACAGAGAAATTCAAATTAAACCAGGGGAGGTAAGATGCCTTGCCGTTAATTTTATAATATTTTATGTTGAGGATACTTAGGAGTTTGGACTTGACTGCAAATGGGATTCAATGATACTCAGGTTGTCCTGATTTGAGACGTGTGTCTACAATTCATGTGAATTTTTKTTTTCAGTTTTGAAAGGTTGCTTTCATATGGAAGACATTTTTGGCCTTGAGAACAATCTAGAATGTTGCTTTGATTGTATAGTTTAAAGGGAAACTGCTGTTAYAATCTAAATGTTGAAAATATGACTATTCCAGCAATTTGCACGAGAAAAAGTTCCAGCTAATTGCATTTCACGCAGGTTATGAATATGTTTTGTTATGCTAAAATAAATAGGAAAAATTGTAGTTATAAGGGGTTCCTTTCGCAGTGGAAGGATACTTCTAGATGTTTCTGTGCTATTTCACTTTCACGAGATGTTTCTGAAGGTGAATTTCTGAGCTGAGGAAGGAAATCAGCCTTGTAATTTAAAGTAATGACCAACAATTTTGACATACTGTTTGATCTGCACATAGTAATTAGAGTTTTCAGGAGTCATTAGCAGCTGGGGTGTCACTCTGTGTTTATTGGAGGACTGTCAGCTGGTGTTTCTCTTTGTTTGTTTTTTAATATTAATGGTTTGGAAAGCAGTTGGTGCTCTAGAAAGAACTGAGAAACAGGCCTGGCTTTGTGGATTTTTATCACCCTGCCAAGACCCTGCGCAACTTCCTCTCCCCCTGCCTGCAGCAGCCTACGGAAACCTGACTGCTGGGGGCCACTTCTGCAATTGCAGCAGGGCAGGGCTGCAGGGTGGGAGGGGGGGTCTTTTCCTTCTGCTGCTCACCAGTGCCTTGGCATCCAAAGAAGAAAACAAGATGCATTTGAACATGTCTCTTCAGTTGTTTCTTGCACTGATGGGTTTCCTTCTCTCCCCTTTCTCTGCTGTTGTGCAGTGCTGCAGTTGAAGCTCCAGCAGCGACGCACACGGGAGGAGCTGGTCAGCCAAGGGATCATGCCGCGTAAGTACCACTTAAATTCTTTGCCTTGGCATTTTTGTGCATGTTTCTTGGTGGAGAATGGTTACCCATACGATTGAAAGATCAGGTTCTCTGCTTCTGCATGAAAAACATCATCTGTAAGAGCCCCACCCTGTCCCACACAACTTGGTCCTTCTGAAGCGTTGGGGCTACCTCTGATACTGAGGAACAGAGTAATGACTGCAAGAATAACTGTGCTGCAAAGCTGGGCTTGCATTTGATTACACTGCACAGTCTTCTGGAGAACATACAATTTTAGAAGCRCCTTATATACTTGACTCATGCTGGTAATCACTCGTAACAGGCTTCCTGCCTCTGCAGTTTCTGTTCATACAATGTCAGCTCCCCAGACCTCTGAGGCACTTGTAACTTTGTGTCCATAAGCTGACCAAAGCCAAGCAATGTGTACAAGATATTAACCAACAAGGATCCCTGTTTTACGTTTGCAGCTAGAAGACAGCTAGAAAGAACTCTGTGGGCATCAGCCATTGCCTTTCTTGCAGGGGGAAGGCAAAATCTGTGGAGCCAGGGAAAGTTTACTTTTCTGGATAAACACAGAGGATATACCTTAAAACCAAGCTTTCACTGTCAGATTAGTGTTGGAGAAAGTAGTTTTCTGTTTTGTTTCCCTCCTTCCCCCCAAAATGCAGCAAAGGTATCTGTTAAATAGTTTTGTTGTGCTTTGATACGTCTGAACTAGATGACTTACAGRGAACAATTTGAAGCAAATGCTATATTTTTGAAGTCCTCTCAGTTTCACGCAACAACTGTAGTAAAAGGCATTGGATCAGGTCTGTATTTTCCTCTTTCAAAAGCTTTCCTGTTTCCCTGTTTCACAAGCTTTACTTGAAGATGGTGCAGTATGAGAATTTTCTCATTTCTTCTGTTTCTGGGGTGCTGTGTATGACTTAGACTTTGCTGGGGGCTGAAGGTTAGACTGTCAGCTCTCTCTCTGAATGAAGAGAACCTGTCAGCAGCACTCTGTCAGCTGAAGTGGCTTGCTGGATGGCAATAATGGTCTTAAGAGGTTTCTGGGACCCCTGCTTAAAATTATGTTACCAAAGCAAAAAGAAAAGATTGTTCTGTCTAGATTTATCATGCCTGTTGTCTAGTTTTTAACCTGGAGAGCTTGTATATGAGCTTCTACAGAATACACTTAGTTGCTTTTGGATGAAAGACTAGTGTCCCAGTGACTGCCTTTTTACTAATGCTTCCCAGAGGAAAATGTTCCTGACTTCTTTTTGGTCTCCTGCTTTAGGTGGATATGTATGCAAATACTGTGTTAACTTRTGTTCACTACTGGTTTTCTTCAAAATGTGGCTGGCCAAACTTGTGATTCCTGAGAGGGGTCTGTCTTACAGGTCTTTTGAAAATGAAGCCCTTGCAAGTAAATCAAGTAAGGCATCCAGAATAATTAGTGAGTTAATTTAAACATAGCCTAAATTACTAGTCTTTGCAGATTTGTGTCCTTCATTGCTTTGTTTATAGCTCTTACATGTGAGTGTTGTGATGGACCAAAGAGAAACACGCAGGGAAATTCATTGTGAAAATATTGGCAACATGTGAAAAGGTCCTTTCTGCAATGGAGAAAACCCGCATCTGTTCTAAACATGATTTGAAATTAATTCCTCCCACTAATGGCATCATTTACCCATACCTACTGACTGGAAATAACCACACATAGGGAAATGTTTAAAACATAATTTGCCTGGGCCATTTTTGAACAGAAGATCAGATGTGAGATAAATTGTGATACTTAAAGCATAAGTCCCATTTTTAACCTGAGAAGTGCAGAGGATCACTAGGGACTAAGTTCCTCCAGAAGGCATCTCAGAGCCATGACAGCTTTACTTCTACTTTCAGGAGTCTTGAATAGACATTTTTAATTCTGCTGGGAATGTGCAAGTATCCTGCATTCTTTCTTCTCTTTGGCCTGTGCCTCTGTGAAAACATCTAAGTACTTAATCTTCTGCTGTCATCTACTACTGAACATGGCCATGCTGGACTTGTGTGTCCTTCCTGGGTTTGTTAGCCAGGAACCAAGCTCCACACAACCCTTTGTGATGATTCGGCAAAAGTATAAAACTTGGATTCCAGAGGATGGTTTGGTGATGAACTAAATGAGCTGGAGTGCTCTTTTCATGTCAGATGCTGGTTGGCTTCTTTTTTTTTTCCTTTATTTTCTGTCTGAAGAGTCTTAACACTCTTCAGAGAACTGTAATGGTTGTGGTTCTATCAGCATTGCAGCTTGCATCAGGAATGTGCTTTTGAAGCTCCTGATTGCACCTGCCTACTGTACCTTGCTTAGCACCACAAAACGAAGTTTGAGAGCTGGGTTAAATTGAAATGAAAGTAAAGTGGAAAATATTCTGCCTAGAGCTAATATGCATTCGGCCTATGGGACGAGATTACAGCTTGTCTGTCACCACACCTCCAATTCCCCTTCACATCCAGAGTGTGGATGTCACTTCCTCAGCATCGACTTTGTTTCTGTTTTGGCCTTACTGTGCTTTCCTACATGTTCGTTTAGATTAGCCTTTGATACAGTTCAGTTCCTGTATATCTTGAGGCAAACAGACATGGAAAAATCATGAGCCAAGTGTGGGTAAAGTGAAAGGTTTTGTTTTACATTACAAGCTATGTGGTGTGCAAACTTCCCTTGATATCTTTGGTTCTCCTGACTGAATCTAAACCCAGATTTAGATTTATTCTGCAATAAGATTTATTCTGCAAATTGGTACCCTAAAAGAGAAATTTCATTTCAGGCTTCCATCAATATGAGGTTTTTGGRCATTGTAAATATGAGGAGTGGGGATGACATGTTTGTGTCACCCTAAAGTRAGAGTCATGCTACTCCTACTGTACTGGTTCATAACTGAACTGGGAATTGCTTACTTTGTCCAATGTGGAATTTTGTTTATATGATAGAGTGGAAAGGCAAATGTTTCAACATTTTTTTTACCAACCTTCCYAACCCACCAGCCACCTACAGTAGGCTTTGCTCCACTAAAAGATTAGCTTATTGTAGTAAGAAATAAAACATTTATAGGCAGTGAAAGAAGATTCAAAATAATTGGGTTTTATGCTTCATTAATTCTTGCTTTCTGTTGCCACTTTGTGTAATCTTTTACTAGTAGCAGGATTCATTAGTTGAAGATTAAAATTCTCAATTGCCCTTAGAAAAAAGGTGGGAAGCAAGCCTTCACCTGCAGCTCACAWACTTGTGATCTGAGCTAGAATGACAGTATCTTGAAAAAAGGAGAGCTGAGTTTTCATATATATTCAGGTTTTGGCCTATTTTCTAACAGTGCAAGTAGACAAGCCTTTTTGCTATTTGCATTTTTTTGTAGCTACACAGAGATGATTTTCATCTTCTTGCCCTCACAAAATGCAAGTTAAACAAAATCTGCTGTCTATGCTCAACTCTTTGAACTCTGTTGTGCTGTAGAACAACATTCAAATGCTGTAATTTTTTACAGTGTTGAATATAAAGGCTATCGTAAGGTTTTTGGGGGAATATTAAACACCCCATTTTTCACTCTTGAAAAGAACGTTTAAAACAGTAGCCAATGCACATCTGAGTAGAAAGTTATGTGGAAAGTGTCTTCAACTAAAACAGCAGAAATTTTTAGGAGAAAGCCATTTGGCAAATGTAGCAATACTCTCTTACGCAAAATATGTGACTCTTTCTCTTTTGCAAGATTTAAAGCTTCACATGCCCTTTRTTTTATCCATCAGGATTGTGATATTTGACTTCTAGCTGCAAACACAAAACACAGGCAAGAATGCAAGGTTGTCATGTGGCACAATCCTACAGGAAAGCTCTTTTGACCATCACATCTATCTAAGCAGGCGAAGCAGTAGATAATTTCTGGGAAAGCGCGTTGTRCTGCTCTGTAGTAGTGCTTTTTAGTCTCTGCAAAATGACACAGGCATCCTTTGAAAAGGGTGTCTGGGCTGAAAGCTAGAAGGAAGGTGGCTGCTGGACAGGCTGAGAATTTCCAGGAGCTTCTTTTTCACTTCAGTGTATCTGATGCTTGCCAATTTTTGTGCCCACAGCAAGCTCCTTTGTGTGTTTGTGTTCTGGGATGCATAATACACGACTGTGTTTAGATCCAAAGAGATGGAGTTTATGCATGGAGATTCCAAKGTGACTGTTACACATGCTGAGGTGTTTCCATGCTCTAGATCTGTGCTACCAACACTGTGATCCAGCTTTGCTGCAGGATGTGCAGTCTGATGGATGCTCGAGCTTGTTTCGGAGTGCGAGAATGTATCTGGTCCTCCACGAGGGGAGYGTGCCATGATTCAATTGCAACATGTCACACAATTAGAAATTAATGTAATACAGCAGGCAGTCTAATGATTATGATCTCATTAGGCCTCTCATATCACTAGCTGCATTTTTCTTGTAGCCATAATGTTAACGGACAAAACGTAATACTTGTTATAAAACTAAAATGYAGTATTTGCTTTTTTGTGCGTCTGTGAGACATTGCTTAGAATGAATTCAAAAGGAATTGCTATTTACTGGGGACATTTMATGATTTAACAATACAGAACACAGGTTATGCTTTGGCAGTGTTGATCATCCTCTAGCCAAACATCGTAGTAGCTGATCTGCATTCAGCATAGCTACCATCSCAACAAAATCAAGGATCTTTAGGGTAATTCATGAAGCTAAGTGCTTGGCACCTGTGAGTTTCTAAGGTTAAATCATGTCTCCAGACTTCAACATCTCAACCTCAAAATTTGGCCATACATCCACACTTTTGTTTGTGTAGGGTAGCTACAAATGCTATTTTTGCTTTAGCCTTTACCTGATAATCTAACCACTTCTCTGTTTAAAAAAAAATAGGTATTAAATACTTGAAAATTATGCACTTCTAACTTTATTGCATGGCTCTGTATTTCATATTTATGTTAATATTTTCTTATTTTTATTTCCTATTATGAAACTTGTCAATTTAATATATATGTGC